TTTAATGAACATTTTGAACAACATCTGCATGTTTTCTCTTCTTTCAAGATATGCAATGTTAAATCTTTTCTTATTAAAATAAATGTTTAATAATAGTTTTGCTTAAACATTGAATCCAGGACAAGGAGAATATAAAATAATAACAACATTTTAAATAAATAATGTCTCTATAGTCTATCTGTAGCTGGCGAGCAGCTCTAATACATATTTGATTTGATCTCGTGGGCCAAACATAATTATATTGTTGGCCAAATTTGGCCCCTGGGCCTGAGTTTGACATGTCTGGTTTAGGTAAAAACATCACAAAATCCATTCTTTTAACAATACATCCCTCACTGACTGTATTTAATATTATAATATAGTCTTTTTAGTCTTTTTCAGTGGTGCAGTTACTTTTTATGATGCGTTTGGTGAGATTAGACCGATCCATGTTCTTTTTAGACAACAACAATAGCAGTGATAGACATTTTGCATGATTAATAAATTACATTAATAAATTTGTTAATAGTTGTAATTCCATTGTAAATCCAGCAAGAAGCATTTTTATAGAAATTTTAAGGCAAGGCAAGGCAAGGCAAGTTTATTTGTATAGCACAATTCGTACACAAAGTAATTCAAAGTGCTTTACAGAATAAGAAATACATTAAAATCATAATAAAAACAAATCAAAACATAAATAATCATGAAGATTAAAATTAAAAAAGAGAGACATAAATTGGAGAGAAGAGTGTGGAATGAAAACCTTTCAGTTATATGCACAGTTAAACAGAAATGTTTTGAGTCTGGATTTAAACAGCGTCACAGAAGAGTCTGTCTCACATGTTCAGACTGTTCCAGGTTTTAGCTGCATGAACCTGAAACGCTGACTCCCCTTGTTTAGTCGTGACTCTGGGCACCAGCAGGAGGCCGGTCCCTGAGGTCCTCAGAGTGCGAGATGGTTCATATGACACTAACATGTCACAGATGGACTTTGGTGCTCGGCCATGGAGAGACTTGTACACAAGCAGAGCTGCTTTAAAGTCTATTCTCTGAGGCACAGGAGCCAGTGCAGAGACCTGAGCACAGGACTTATGTGCTCGTACTTCCTAGTTCGAGTAAGGACCCGAGCTGCAGCGTTCTGGATGTTCTGCAGCGTCTCACAGCTCGTTTTGAGAGACCAGTGAGCAGAACATTACAGTATCTAACCTACTGGAGACAAACGCATGGATAAGTTTCTCCAAGTCTGCTTTAGACAGTAAACCTTTGATTTTTGCTATGTTTTTTAGATGGTAAAAGGCTGCAGATGTTATTGATTTTATGTGACTGTTAAAGTTCAAGTCTGAGTCCATTATTACCCCTAGATTTCTTGCCTTATTTGAAGGTTTTAGAGAGAGAGACTGGAGGTGACTGCTGACACTGTCCCTTTGTTTCTGTGGACCAAACACTATGACTTCAGTCTTGTCAGAGTTTAGCTGGAGAAAGTTGTTTTGCATCCACACACTGATCTGTTGGATGCAGTGACAAAGTGAATCTACTGGTCCATAGTCTCCTGCTGCCAGAGAGACGTAGATCTGAGTGTCATCTGCATAATTGTGGTAGGACAGGTTATTGCTGCTTATTAACTGGCCTAATGGCAGCATGTAGAGATTGAACAACAGGGGGCCCAGGATTGACCCCTGAGGCACCCCACAGGTCAGGGCCATGTGATCTGAGACACAGTTTCCAATTTCAACAAAATACTTCCTGTCTTCTAGATAGGACTTGAACCAGTTTAGTACAGTACCAGAGATGCCCACCCAGTCCTCTAGTCTCTGTAAGAGGATCCCATGATCGACAGTGTCAAAAGCAGCACTCAGATCTAACAGGATCAAGACTGAGACTTTGCCTGCATCAGTGTTCAGGCGGATGTCATTTGTCACCTTGATAAGAGCAGTCTCAGTGCTGTGGTGGGCTCTAAAACCTGACTGGAAAACATCAAAGGAGTTGTTCATTTGGAGAAAGTTCGTAAGCTGTTGGTAAACAGCTTTTTTCAAGGACTTGGCCAAAAAACAGCAGATTTGAGATGGGTCGGAAATTGTTCAGTACTGTGGCATCAAGACTGCTCTTCTTTAGGAGAGGCTTAATGACCGCAGTTTTCAACGCGTTTGGGAATGTTCCAGATTGAAGTGACATGTTAACTATGTGAGTGAGTGGTGAAAGTAAACTGTTGAGGACAGACTTTAGAAATCTAGTGGGTAACATGTCCAGGCAGCAAGTAGATGAACTCAGACTGGTAACGATCTCTAAAACAGTTTTGTCAGTTACAGGTGCAAAGTGATTCAGCTCTAAGTGTCTCTGTGGCTGCATGCTTGTTATTTGTGTTGTGGAATTGATGGCATTTTTGATGCCTTGAACTTTGTCATTAAAGAAAACTGCAAACTCATTACATTTAGATGTGGAAATTAGTTCTAGAGGCAGTGGAGCTGGAGGGTTTGTTAATCTGTTCACTGTTGCAAACAGGACACGAGAGTTGTTACTGCATTTACCAATAATGTCCGAAAAATACTTCTCTCTTGTTTTACTCAAAGTGTAGTTGTACATATGCATTGTTCCTCTGTAACATCTCATAATGAACCTGGAGGTTTGACTTGCGCCATTTCCGCTCAGCCTTCCGGCACTCCCTTTTCTGTGCCCTGACTGAGTCATCATTCCTCCACGGAGCTTTTTGCCTCTTTAACCATTTTAACCTTAATCGGGGCGATGGCATCCAGAACATTCAAAACACTCAAAGTCACAGAGTTCAACACATCATCAACATTAGAACATGAGGCAATTTCAAAATGTATCATTTCCATGGACAGTGCACCTGTGTTATCATTTATGTGTCTTCTTCGAACAACTGAAGGAGCAGCCGGTGGTTTGGGAATAACATACAGGTCAAAGAAGACACAGAAATGATCAGACAGAGCAACATCAACCACATTGACATTTGAAATATTTACACCCTTTGTAATGAGCAGGTCCAGAGTGTGTCCTCTGTTGTGAGTGGGCTCACTGACATGCTGAGTCAGACCAAAAGTTTCAAGGACAACACTAAGTTCTTTGGCATTTTTGTCACACACATTATCCACATGTACATTAAAATCACCTGTCATGACTAAACCAAACCAAAGTCTGTGCAAACAACTGAAAGCATCTCAGTAAAATCATCAATAAAACTTTGACAGTGCTGAGGAGGTTTGTATATGACTATGTAGAGTCTGGACGGTGATTGTTTTAGCTCCATTTTGAAGGAAACATACTCAAATGATGAAAACACCCCAAATGACAACCTGTGTGTAACCAAATGATCTTAAAAAATGCACACACTCCTCCACCCTTTTTATTTGCTCGTGTTTCAGATTCAAATTTGAAGTTGGGAGGGGTTGATTCCACTAGCACTGCATGACCTGTGTTTTTGTCAAGCCATGTTTCAGTTAAAAACATAAAGTCAAGATTAAAAGAAGAAATAAAATCATGAATTAGAAATGATTTGTTACATAAAGATCTGACATTGAGCACAGCAAGTTTCTGATTAGTTTCAGTAGGACTGGATGTTATCTTCTTACAGGGAACGTGAACAACATTTCTCTGATTAGACAGTCTAACTGTCCTTCTTTTAATCCATCTACGTGTTGTAACTGGAGATATAGCTCCATCGCAGGGCCCCAGCCTGATATTACCTTTATCATGACTGTATGTCCTGGGACAGCAGAGGCCCTGTGCGTCCTAGCTCTTGGTGATAACAGCTCTGGGGAAAGGCGGGGGAGGGTGAGCAGGGGACAGTTTGGGTGAGTGACCAGGTGAGGAGGGCCGAGGAGGTGGAATAGAGGGAGGTTTGGGTGAGGGACCAGGTAAGGCCCGAGGAGGTGGAGTAGGGGGAGGTTTGGGTGAAAATTAGAGGGGAGAGCTGAGAGAGTCTCTGGTGGTGAAACAGGCACAGTTTTGTTAGGGGGAGAGTTCAACATAGTTGATGTCAGAACCCTTGACCGTGCTATGTTAGGTGTGAGAGGAACCATCTTGATTCCCAATCTGATGAGGCTTTCTAGATGGTTGGGCAGTGCCATGGGTGAAGGTGGGGAGGAGAAGGAGAGTGAAGAGTCCGTTGATGGAGTAGATGTAGCAAAGGGGACTCCAGGCTGGTCTGTGGGCAGCGGAGGTGCCCACAAACAAAAATCAGGTCATGATTGAACTTTATGAATCAGATGGAAGTTTAAAGGTCCCAGCATTGACTCTTGTGAGCTTTAATCCATGTTATAATACTGTTACCTCATCAAAAACACACTTTGGTTGTGTTTACTTTCATTCACACATGTTTGAGTAACTCTTTATTATTAGTCTGTCTACATCTCCAAAGCTCAAAATGCTCTATTCCACCTTGTGATGTCACGAAGTGGTAGTTTTCAAGATAACAGCTACTGTTTACCTTTTGTTCAGTAGAGATTAGCAAATTCCAGATCTGAAACCATCCAAATTATTCTAGTGAAGGTGAGTTTAAAAACACAGTGGAGCACTTCTTGTATTACCACATGACATCACAAGGTGTAACAGAGTTTTCTTTTTGATGAGGAAACAACATTATAACACAGATCTGAAAATAAGAGTAATTCACAGCCAAAATGTTAAGTATGTTGGTAATGTAAGAAAGAAAAGTTTATTTATATAACACACTTTTCACAGACATAGGTCACAAAGAGCTTCACATGCAAAAGATAAAAACAGCATAAGATACATTCATAATCAAAATAATAAAATAAAATCAGTCATAGCAGCTCTAAACCTGAGGGGGTGAGAACGTTTGTTCAAAGAGAAATGTTTTTAGTTGCTTTTTAAAAGCATCTACACTTTCTAGTAGGGATGTAACGA